CTACGACCACTTGAGACATTGCCGATCGAAGGCCTCGTTCGTATCTGGGCACACGAGGCACTCCGCCTGTTCCAGGATCGTCTTATCGCAGAGGAAGAGAGGCAATGGACTGAAGAGTGCGTCCACCGTATTGCGGCTGAACACTTCCCTACCATCGACGAAGAGAAGGCTCTTGGTGGCCCCATCCTCTTCTCCAACTGGCTGTCCAAGAACTACGTGCCGGTTGAGCGTGAGCAGCTTCGCGAGTTCGTCAAGGCTCGTCTCCGTACCTTCTGCGAAGAAGAAGTGGATGTGCCACTCATCCTATTCAACGACGTGCTCGAGCACGTACTTCGCATCGATCGTGTCTTCCGTCAACCACAAGGCCATCTCATCCTCATCGGTGTCAGTGGATCTGGAAAGACAACCCTGTCTCGCTTCGTGGCCTGGATGAACGGTCTGAGCGTCTACCAAATCAAGGTCCACGGAAAGTACTCAGGCGAAGACTTTGACGAAGACTTGCGTACCGTGCTTCGACGATGCGGTTGCAAGGGCGAAAAGATCTGCTTCATCATGGACGAAGCCAATGTTCTTGACTCCGGTTTCCTCGAGCGCATGAACACCCTCCTGGCCAACGCGGAGGTTCCTGGTCTGTTCGAAGGTGATGAGTACGCTTCCTTGCTTACTGCAATCAAGGAGGGTGCGCAGCGTCAAGGCATCATTCTCGACTCACAAGAAGAGCTGTACAAGTGGTTCACGGAACAAATCGTCAAGAATCTCCACGTGGTGTTCACCATGAACCCGCCTGAGGAGGGTCTTTCGTCGAAGGCAGCCACCAGTCCCGCTCTTTTCAACCGTTGCGTGCTCAACTGGTTCGGAGACTGGTCAGACCAGGCTCTTTACCAAGTCAGCTCGGAGCTCACACAATCGGTCGATCTCGACCGTGCCAACTATGTCGCACCGGATAGCATCCCCGTTGCTTATCGCGGACTCACCCTGCCGCCATCCCATCGCGAGAGTGTGGTCAATGCAATGGTTGCTGTACACCACTCACTACGCAGCAAGAACGCGAAGTTGCAGAAGACACAGAACCGGAAGATGTACCTTACCCCACGCCACTTCTTGGACTTCGTTGCGCAGTACGTCAAGCTTTACAACGAAAAGCGCGAAGACCTCGAGGAGCAGCAGCGCCATCTCAACGTCGGTCTTGAGAAGCTTCGCGAGACGTTCGACAAGGTTAAGGAATTGCGAGCAAGCCTTGCACAGAAGCAGACGCAGCTCACTAAGAAGGATGCAGAAGCGAACGAAAAGCTGCAACGTATGATTGCGGACCAGAACGAGGCGGAACAGAAGAAGGCTGGATCGATCAAGATGCAAGCTCAGCTTGCGAAGGACAAGGAGGAGATCCAGAAGCGACAAGAGGTGGTAGAACACGATTTGGCGGCTGCCGAGCCGGCTGTGGCGGAGGCACAGAAGAGTGTGCAGAACATCAAGCGACAGCATCTTACCGAAGTCCGATCTATGCAGAATCCTCCTGCTGGTGTCAAGCTCGCTTTGGAAGCCGTCTGCACGATTCTTGGACACAAGCCCGACAGCTGGAAGACTATCGTTTCCATCGTCAGGCGTGACGACTTCATCGCCAGTATCGTACAGTTCGACAACGAGAGGCAGATGACTGCAGGCCACCGCAGGAAGATGCAGAAGGAATATCTTTCCCAAGAAGACTTCACTTTCGAGAAGGTCAATCGCGCTTCCAAGGCTTGCGGTCCCCTTGTACAATGGGTATCTGCGCAAGTCACCTACTCCGACATCCTTGACCGCGTCGGTCCTCTACGTGCCGAAGTCGAGAACCTGCAAGTTGAGCTTCAGAAGACAGAGGAGGGCGCCAAGGAAACCCAGGTCCTCATCCAAAACCTCGAGGAGAGCATTGGCCGATACAAGACTGAGTACGCGGCTTTGATCAGTGAAACTCAGGCCATCAAGACGGAGATGGCGACCGTTCAGTTCAAGGTCGACCGCAGTGTCCGCCTTCTCGACAGCTTGTCCTCTGAACGCGTTCGATGGGAGGAGAGCAGCAAGTCTTTCGATTCTCAGATCGACACCATCGTTGGTGACGTCTTGGTTGCAGCTGCGTTCATCGCTTATGCCGGTTACTACGACCAACAGTACAGGAAAGCGCTTACAGAGGACTGGTACGATCACCTCAAACACTCCGGAATTAGCTTCAAGCCAACAAATCCATTCACGGAATATCTCTCGACTGCTGATGACCGCCTGAACTGGCAACACAATGGTCTGCCGGTCGACGACCTGTGCACCGAGAACGCCATCATCCTGCAGAGGTTCAACCGCTACCCGCTTATCATCGATCCTTCTGGCAGAACAACAGAGTTCTTGCAGAACGAATGCAAGGACCGCCGTCTCACGGTGACTAGCTTCTTGGATGATTCATTCACCAAACAACTTGAGAGTTCCCTGCGTTTCGGTAACCCAATCTTGATTCAGGATGCCGAACATCTGGATCCCATCCTTAACCACGTTCTCAACAAGGAGTACCAGAAAACTGGAGGTCGTGTGCTCATTCAACTCGGCAAGCAGGAGATCGACTTTTCGCCGTCTTTCCGCCTCTACCTGTCAACACGCGATCCTTCCGCCAACTTCGCTCCTGACATCTGCAGTCGTACCACGTTCGTCAACTTTACTGTCACGCAGAGCAGCTTGCAGACACAGACACTGAACGAAGTCCTCAAGTCCGAGCGACCTGATGTTGATGAGCGCCGATCCAACCTCATCAAGATGCAAGGAGAGTTCGCAGTCCATCTTCGTCAGCTTGAGAAGCGACTGCTTCAAGCTCTCAATGAGTCGCGCGGTAACATTCTGGACGACGACCGCGTCATCGAAACGCTCGAGACGCTCAAGAAGGAGGCCAAGGAGATTTCGGACAAGGTCTCCGAGACCGCTGGCGTTATGACAGAGGTCGAGAACATCACAAAGGAGTACACTGTTGTCGCTCGTTCTTGCTCAGCTATCTTCGCTGTGTTGGAGCAACTGCACCATCTCAACCACTTTTACCAGTTCTCGCTCCAGTACTTTACTCAGATCTTTGAGACTGTGCTGCGCAAGATTCGCAACTCCAACATCACTGGTCATGCTGCCCGTATTGAGCAGATCGTTACTGAGCTCTTCGTTGACGCATACCGCCGCACTTCGCTCTCCTTGCTCCAGAAGGACCGTGTTACGTTTGCTATGCTGCTCGTGCAAGCGGCGCCCTACAAGATGGACAAGGCACACATCGATCAGATCCTTGACCCCGACCTGAAGGGTATCGATGTGTCAACCGAGACAGAGCGCAAAGAGGAGGCCATGGAGCGTGCCAGCAAGATCCCGATGTTTAAGGAAGAGCTGCCAAAGATTGAAGAAAGCGCTTGGGATGCTTTCCTCAATGAAGAGATGGGAGAGCGACATGTACCGCAGGCTTGGCCAGAAGATCTTACCAAGTTCGACAAGCTACTACGAGCTCTCGTCTTGGTCAAGCTATTCCGTGTGGATCGCTTCGTACCCGCCGTCGAGCGCTTTGTCACTGAGGTGTTTGGCAAGGGCATCCTAGATGCCAGCGGTGATCTGGGCGATATTGTCAAGCAAGTCAACGCAGTAACCCCGGTGGCGCTCAGCTCCAGTCCTGGATTCGATGCAAGTTACAAGGTCGACAATCTTGTAGAGAGGGAGCAAGTCAGCTGCACAAACATTGCCATGGGTTCCAACGAAGGTGCCGCATCAGCCGACAAAGCCATCGCTAACGCCGCCACTACAGGCAACTGGGTACTTGTCAAGAACGTCCATCTCGCCCCACAATGGTTGCAATCGCTTGAGAAGCGTCTTGAAGCTCTCAAGCCCAACCCCGACTTCCGTCTCTTCCTGTCAATGGAGTCCAGCCCCAAGATTCCGGTCAACCTACTTCGCGCTTCTCGCGTCCTATCCTACGAGCAGCCTGCTGGAGTCCGTGCCAACATGAAAGACTCGCTCTCTTCGTTGGCCGAGAAGGCCACCAAGCCGCCGGTGGAGAAGGCACGTGTCTACCTCCTCTTGTCCTTCCTCCACGCAGTCATTCAAGAGCGCCTTCGCTACGCGCCGACTTTGGGATGGAAGGGCTTCTGGGAGTTCAATGACAGTGACTACGAATGCTGCAGTTTCATCATCGACACATGGGTCGACACCGTCGCACAAGGCCGATCTAACATCGCCCCTACCAAGATCCCATGGGAGATGCTCCGTTACCTCATCACAGAGATGTACGGCGGCAAGATCGACGACGCAGAAGACTGGCGCATTCTCGCTTCTCTCGTCGATGCTACTATGACACCAGCCGCCTTTGAGGACAACTTCAAAATCGTCAAGGATACCGAGCACAGCGAAGGTCTCGAACTACCTACCTCGACTAGCTGGAAGGACTTCATGGGCTGGGTCAATGACCTTCCCGAGCGCGAGCCGCCCACTTACCTTGGCTTGCCTGCCAATGCCGAGAAGCTGTTGCTGGTCGGTCAGGCCAATGCCATGGTTGGCGGTTTGAAGAGGGTGTTGGATATGTTGGATGAGGGCGAGCAGGTTATGGCTGAGGCGGAGACTGAGGTTGAGGGTTAGTGGTCTTATGACCTGTATTAGGCGTTCTCTAGATGAGTGTCGCGATTTTTCTTTATCTGTAGTTTCATTCGTTAGCTGGGGTTATAAGGCGTTTCAACTTGGGTTTCCGTGGTTCAAGGGACGGTTCGCTAGTTTACTGGTATACCCATAAATCTCATTGTTCAGAGTCTACTTGAGGCAAAAGCCCGTGTGAGTCCTTGATGTTGCTAATTGATAGGTCCGTGTAGTCTCCGCATCATCTCTGCTTTTACTGAGACGAGAAGTCTTCCAGCCCAGATAACACTCGTCAAGCCCATGATTGTGCAGATGACATGTCACATCGTTGAGATGCAGGCTTAGACATAGCGCATCATGCGAGCTCACCGAGGTTGCCTTGCGCCTTCTTACTTGCCCGACCTCTTGCCCAGCTCAAATGCCATGGCCATGCCACCCCGATTCTCCAACTCCGACTTCCTCTCTTGCAATCTCTCCCATTCGGAGTCTGTTCTCTCCTCTTCCAACGTCTCTCTCTTGTAGCGTGCTTGTGACTTCTCCGCTTCTAGCACTTCCTTCCTGTTCGCCATGATCTCAGGTACAGCTCGGCGCGCCTTCTCAGCTTCTTCGTTACGCTTAGTGATTGCAGCTTGGATGGTGGACATCTCAGCAATCACGATCGGATCTTGCATGTCGTTCTGTATTACCTGAGCGCATGCTTGCGCAATGGCGGTATACTCCTGTTCCTCTTCGTCGGCAAGTCAGTCGAGAGCGAGAGATATGTCTTCTTCTTCTTCGGCGAGTGTTTCAATAACCTGATAATGCTTAGCGGTCTCGGGGGAGTGAGTAGCTATATCTTTGAGAATACTGATGTACTCATCAACGACTGAGACATCTCCAGGCATAGCAGAAGTAGCGATGAGCTCTTTGGTGGCCTTGGTCGCGAGGTCATCTTGTGTAGCTACGACGATGTTAGAGTTTGTGTCGGAGTCAGAGTCAGAGTCAGAGCCTGAAGATCCGCTTTCGATGACGATGGGCTTGTGTCTACGGCGACCGAGAGCGAAGACGGTAGAGAGGGGGGTGGCAGTACTCTTTCCCTTTTTACGGCTTGGTAGGCGCACGTTGGCTGATGGCGTCGAAGGCGGACTCAGCATAACAGTGTCTGCATCTTGCTGTCCATCAGACTCCGGCTCGAACAATGGACTCTGCTCTCGCTCTCCTGATATGTCTTTCATTTCTGACTTCTTGTTACTACCCGTCTTATCCATGGTCGCTCTCTTGCGCTTCGCGACCGTCTTGCTCGGAGTCGCAGGCGGTGGAAGACGTGGGTCAACCTGAGAGAACATTCCATACTTTCCGTTCGTTTCTGCGTTAGGTCGATCGGGATTCATGGCTGCGTAGTGTTGACGGACTCTGTTAGCCTTTGGGTCGATCTTGGCTGGGGGGCTGTTGTCTTCGGAAGCCTGGCTTGATGAGTCGCTGTCAACAACCACGCGGGCCTTTTGGGCTCGCCTTGGCACATCTGACATGGCTGTGTCAGGTGTTAGGGAGTGGATGTACGAGATGGGAGAAGAAAGTATCATCGAAGGAATATAAGATATTTATATAATTGAGCGGATAGGCCCAGCGCATCTGTGGTGACTGCGAGTCGAGGTGACCTCGAATTACTATTGTTTCTGCAGAGGCAAGATATCAATACAACCCCCAAAGGGCTGACTATATCGCGAGATGAATGGAGGTTGCGTCTCCGCGAGAAGCGTTTGCTCCACCATCCTTGCCTTCCAAGGTTACGCCTACGCCACTACCCTCCTGAACGCTACCCACCCACCCACTGTCACAACCTCCGTTTTTCCGAAACATTTACGCCGGGCGTGGTGACCTGTAGAGGCCGGGTCTGGCCTTTTGTCACATTTGGGTGCTGCCCGTTTGCGCTTCTTGCTTTTCGCTTCATTTGCGTCCGGAACGGGTAGGTCCAGAGGACGTTGCGGTACTTCTCGAATAAGTTTACGTGGTTCAGCATCTAGGTCTAGATCTGGAGCTACAGGGCAACTAATCTGCTTGAAAGGTGTAGCTAGATCGGCCTTGGGTACGTTGGCATCTTTGGGTAGTAGTAGAGGAAGAAGAGTGCGGAGAGTTGTCGATTCGTGCGACGGTGCTGCGGTGACCGAAGCGGGCTTTTCCTCTTTCTTGCGACGCTTTGGAGCCTGCTTGACCGCTTTCCTTGTTTTCTTGATGGTGGCAGTAGAAGTAACACTAGGCGCGGCAACAGGCGGTGTGTTCACGTCTCTTATGGGTGTTTGCTCGAGTCGAGGTGCGACTGCCGTTGACAAGTTCAGAGTATGTGGTAGTTTTGCAGGTGAACAAGCCCTACATGAACCACAATGCGCTTTCGTCTTCTGCGAGGGTTGGGCATAAGGCTCTCCAGTCACTTCAGGTCGGTTTTCAGTAGGGCACGCTACTGGCCTGACCGCGGAGTCGAGAGGCAGGCAACCTTGGGTGACTCGCGACGCCACTTGACATACTGGAGGGCTCGCCGTCTGCTGCGACGCAGCGGTCTTGCTTTGAGAGTACAGGGAAGCGCTCTTTGAAACACATGTAGACTTCAGCAGCCGCTGCGGCGGTGTGTTCGGGTTGAGGAGTTGATTCAGGTTCATGGCGACTGATATTCGAGCTGAATGTGCAATAGGCGAGCGGGTTGTTAAGAATACCCAGCAAGGATGGAAGATAATTCGTATCAAGAATGTATGGGGCTGCATTCGAGCGCCTATTTACCGGAATTCGCATAACTAACCAGAGTTCTCGTTATTCTGAGAGCTCAACCATGGTTCGCACACGTGACCGCCCATCACACGCTCTTATTAGTCACTCTCCACATCGAGCGTCCTCCGCCTCTTGAACATGTTCCTCACCTCAGCCCTGCGTTCTTCGATCTCGTCTCTCTTCTTCTCCAACTCTGCGCGCTCTCGTTTCCATTTCTCCTGGAAAGCCTCGAAACGTGCATCCATAACCTCCAATTCGTGATCAACATTGTTGAGGTCCTTCGTCAGAGCGTTTTGCTGCATGACCAGCCTGGTGAGGGCGTCGAACTCTTCGTCTTCGGCTGAGCGTTTCGAGTTGCGCGACGGGGCTGTAGGGGTTGCATCTGCTTCGGGGCTGGCAGACTTGGAAAACGAGGTCTTCGGCAGCGACTTTTGCGTTGTTGTTGCATGAGGGATTGTACGACGTGCGATTGAAGGGGCGGACTTACGCGCAACGCTCTGCGGGAAGCGAGGCGCTTTAGGCGTGGGTTCATTGGCCAGCGTCGACTTGGTGTTCTGCTTCTCTGGGGTGTAGGAGCTTTCGCTACTCTCATCTGCTATACTGTCATCCATTGGTACGGTACCGGATGATTTGAAGGCGCTAGGGCCCATCTGATCAGAGATGTACTCCAGTGCGCAGCGGAGACGCTCGGGGTAGGCCTTGGTTTCGTGTAAAACGCAGTCCGTAGCAATTCCAGCTGCGATGAAATACCACTTGACCATGAGCGTCAACCTGGCTTTGTCAGGTGGGTCGCTTGGACCGGTACTTCTGGGGTAAGTTTTGCTGAAAGGGTGCAAGATGCGCTGCTTCCCTGTAGCTTCGGCGGACATTGACGCGTAGGTACCACGAGCGCTTTCCAGGTAAAATCGGATCTCATGGAAACCCCGCTGCGCTATTCGTACCATGTAGGCATAGATTCTGTGCTCTGTCTTCGCATGGGTTCCGACGAATAATTTCTTCGGTTGGGCTTCTAGGATGTACGTCTGATCCAAGAATTCCATGTCATGAGCATCGGGAATATTCTCCAAGAGTCGCAACGCGCCGCGCTCAGCAAGGTATGACCATAGTAGTTGCAAATCCGGATTTCCGTCCCAGCTCATACCATGTGGGGTATCGTATGTGACGTTGCTCTCAGGTGCGTTTACCAAGCCGTTTCGGTTGGCAGGCAGCAATCCATTCGGGCTTTCCATGTCTTCCGGCTCTGAGCTTTCCTCCACGGTCTCGCCTGTTTCTCGGGGGTGCTTATAGGTCCCATGGCTTCCATCGGTATTCCCGTAGACTTTTCTCAGCACAGACGATAACCGCCGACTAAAGTCATCGTTCCACGCATCGATTTTGCTTATATGACCTTGCAAAAGGAAGTAGTAACGTATAATCATGCTAAGCATTCGCTTCTTGGTCTTCGTTCCATCTGTGAAGTATTTGAACGGAACGATGAGAGGCTTCGTCATGGCTTCATCTCCGGTGATTGATGGCAGCGTCGAGGTCGCGCGGTCATCGCCAATGGATCTGAGGCAGTAGCGAACCTCCCAACCACCGCCGGATGGCAGCAGGTAAGTCAGCACGTTGCGGTTGCCTACGTTTCCGATCAACAGACTTGGGGATTCCGCCTCATCCAGTGCATTTTCAATCCAGGTCAGGGAATCCGCTGGTGGCAGTGCATCCATGCAGGAGTCGGCGCCGGCCTTGGCCATTAGCTTTCGAATTGTCTGGAGGGACATTTTCCGGTTTTTGTGGAAGGTGATAAGTCGCCGAGGATAGCCGTCTGTGTCGCGTTCCAGCGCATCCGATGTCTGGTCAATTGTTTGTCAAGGATCACGGGCCTTGTTGCCAGCAAGTCGCGCGATGATGTTGGCGCGTCTGAGCTACAACGCGTCGCCGGAGGCTCGACCCCCTGCACTCAAGATATATGACAAAGCATGCGGAGAAGTCTGGTGCATACTACTCTGGACTACAGCAAGATATATCGCAATGGACGGGGCATTGATGATAAGGCTAAGAAGATGCAGGTCGCAGGAGCGTTGCTTGTTCCGGGAAGGATCAGGCGGTCCACTGCCGCTAGCGTGAACACGTGCACGTGCACTGGAGTACTCGCGTGCGACACCTTCTATGGCATTCTTGAATGACGTCCTATCTAGTGGTTGTGGATTTACGCGTTTATTGCGACAGCATATGAGGCTCAGGCAGTTGAATTATCATTCCTATCAGCTTTTGGCAATTGAGATAATCATATATACAATCTAAATCTGAAATCTCCCATCAAACAGCACACATAGCTGAGAGTGAGCCGTCTATGGCGATACTACCACTGATTCAAAAATCTCTCTATCGGCTCGCAGTTCGATACCCCTAAAGTGCGGTCTTATGGAGATACTTCCACTAGGTTTACCTTTTTGCTCTTTTTTGCTCCCCAGAACGCGCTTTCACCTTCACTTTTTGGACCAAATGCGGCAATGATGTCACACTGCAAACGCAACTCACCGTGACTTCGAATTGAGATTTACTAGCTCTATTGTTTTTGACCTTTGATCTCAGCTTCTGCCATCCTTTTACCAACTACATACCTTCCGCGATGGCCGCAAACGCGAAAACACAGCCCCCGGGCGCCTACATCTACGACGAAATTGTCAAGATCGCTGAGCAAAGCTTCCCTGACGCCTACAACGCGCTCCTCGATGTCGACGACATCCCCTGGGAGCGACCTGACTACGACCGTGTCGGCTTCTCCTCGCACTCCCTCTTCCTCGGTCACATTGTCGTCGACGGCCTCACACACAAAGTCTCGGCATACATGACAAGCGAGGGCAACATCCAGCTCTTCCGCCGCAACATCAGTCTCTCGCGACGCGATAACGAGCGCCTCGCCTTGACAAGCATTTGGGCGCATCTGCAAGAGAATGTCGAGCGCCCGGGTCTGCATAATTTGAAGGCACTGTGCGGATTCTACTTCGTCGCCGCCGGGTATGCAGACGTGGTGAATGCGAAGAAGGGTTGGTTCCAAGATCTGGAAATGGCTTCGAGGAAAGTTGGTCTGGGCCTCGGGGTCCTGGATGATGAGCGTGCGGTTTCTGGGCTGGGTGAAGAGGTGGAGAGGAGTGTTGAGAGGGCCCTGAGTTCGCACGATGGCGACGTCGAAGACAACGAGGATTCTGGAGACGAGACGGACGTCACGGTGGGCGCGGAGATGAGGGGCCTTGGTGTTGGGGTCGACGAAGTCAAGGTCGCACACATCCTGCAACGTCTCTTGATAGTAGTCAAGACCAGGCAGGAGAGCTGGGGTGACCGGATTGAGACGGAACTGAAGCGGGCTTGGCCAAACTACAAGAACCACTGGAGATAGGAACAAAGCCGGGCTGAGATTTGAGAGATAAGAATACCGCTAGAACGCTAAAAATGACGAGACTACGGAGCTACTGCTGTTGCTCCTTGCACCTTTGCTGCTTGGTCCATTTACTGAACTTGTCTTTCTTCCAACCGCTTTTCCAGGTGAGTGTGACCCTTTCTCCATCGATGTTTAACTTTTGTGGCTCCTTGTGTGTTCCAAAGCGTATACTGCTGCTAAGGTGACACTTAGTCGGCGGGTTCTCATTCCAATTCCTCTGATTAACCGAGGAGTACGACCACTGAACGCAGTATTTGCTGTTGTCGCAGGACTCTTGGCATGCCTCTGGCGACGCTTCTCCGTTCCCAGCGCGATCCGCGTCCTGATGTTCGCCGCCTTGGAAAAGGATGTTCCACCGGTTGTTCGAGGACTCGGAGGATAAGTTGTCCCAATCATTGCGTGTGTAATTCAAGTCTTCCGGGGTCATGAAGCGGTACCATAGATCTGCAAAGCGCAGGGTGGGCTGGTCCGAGGGTCGGTCCTTCTCCAATCTGAGCAGATCACTGCCGATGTCCGGTGTAATGTGGTGCATCAGCAGGATAGGCTCGCACCATATAGCAGGCGAGAAAGGCACCGTGCTTGGGTCGAATCCAGAGATGCTGGGCCAGACTGTGGTAAAGGTGATTTTTACCTCGGCCTGCAGCGCGCTGGCGACGAGGTCGAAAGCTGTTGTATGGTCCGCAATTTGCTCCCGCCAGTTCTGGATAAAGTCTTTGCGCTTCTTGAACAGCTCCAGCATTACACCTCGCGAGAGGATGAACGACGTGCCTCCGGCGGCGAAGGGATCGGGGACGCGCGCCGTCGCTGGGGCAGGTGGGTTGCCAAAGAAGTGCTTCGCATCTGGGTCGTGTTGACTCAGCCAATCGAGTAGGTTCGGCCTGTTGACGTACGTCTCATCGCCAGCGAAGACATACCAGCTGCGGTCTGGCCTGTACTCCCACGCAGACGCCATTGTCTCCAGTATCTTGTACTTGTCCAGTATCTCCATCTCCCTCTTTTCTTCTTCCGGGTCCTCCTTCTTCAACTTGGCCAGTGGTATGCTCCTCCGCGCATAGTCGACCTGAGCGCGGTATCGCTCCAGCTGCTTCGTCTTCTGTATGAAGTCGGATTTGTAACGCCAGATGACGTCGAAGACGGGCCATCTTCCGATCTGGGTTTGTAGGTCCGAAAACAGCAGGAGCGTGCCGTGGTCTTGTTCGTTGGTGTTGAGGATGAGAGGCGTGACTTTGTTGTAGACGTCGTTTGCGGTCGTGGTGACGGCGACGACGAGCTGGTCATGGTCGACTTGGTGCGGGCCGAGGTTCGACTCTTGCTGCGGGCGCTTGCTCGGCGGGAGCTCTTCGTCGTCGTAGGTGCGCGGCCAGCCCTTGACCCAGAAGAAGGCATATATGAGGATGACGCTGAAGACGAGGCGGGCCGGGCGCGGCATGTGCTTCCGGTAGGACGACATGGTCGCTAGCGTTTGCTGTGTGGCATCTGTCGGATTGGTAGCTAAAGGAGAGTACAGAGATCAAGATCGAAGATGCCCAAAACGTGTTTCACCCCATCGCAATGGCCCGATCCATGTTTGAGAAAAAGCGCGTTGCGAACGTCCGCCCGCATTCAGGGGAGCCTAGGCCCGACCGAGACGCGTGGAACAGGCCTGGTGTGGCGCGGCCTCGTATTGCTGAGGGACACGCGTCGCGGGGGCATCAGTGGAGCATGGCTTTGAGACCTACATTTACAGCATCGACAAGACATTCCCCTTCCAAGACGCGAACTACATAGTGCAACGGCGAGAGACGCCGCATGAGGCGTTCCTGCCCTCTTGGCGATGCATCGGAGGAACAGCTGGCAATCTCCGACGATCACCAGATCGCCGCTACGACTCCCTGCGTCTACCATCCCTCTCCTCGTCACATTCCATCAGCTCCGGTACTCAGTATAGCTTCTGCAGCCCGAACTGGCCATGATTCCGCGGTCACGATGCGCGTACGGTACGCTCACAGCAGCTGGCCCGTATATCCGATAACACCGAAGCGAGCACCTTCCCCTCATCTGGACCTGTTCGATGGTCTCTATAAAGTGAATGATGGAAGATCTTGTGGAGTCTTGAAGAAAAGAAAGTCCCAAGCAGTGATGAATTTGAGATGCGATGCAACAGGTGGTGATCATATGGAAGGAACCGATGCTGACCTCGTAGCAACTCACCTCGATAAGGCAAACCATCAAGCAGATGTGTACGTCCGCCTGCGTCATCACGATCTATCAGAAAAGGCGGATGCCAAAGCAGTCAGAAAGTCACTCAATGGTGCGACCGCTCGATCGGTTGCTGTCTTTTGCAGCAGGTACACAGGATCTGCTTGCTATGGACGTATCAGTGTTTACTCGATGTATCCACTTCAGTGTAGCAAACCGCGAGCCAATCTTCAAGGTGGTTATAAGTCCTCGAATCAGGCCTGTTTTTTGCAGGTCATATAGCTATACTAAAACGGGATTGAGTACTCTGTCATTCATTGACCTCCCTGCGATTTCACTACCTTGAACTAGAGACTGTGGCAAGTCAGACTACTAGGGCGGTACCTAATGAGGCATCAGCCTGTATGTACTCCAGTCACCCTTCCAGCACATGTATATTCATTAAAGCGGCTATCAATTGCCTTCGATCTAACGTGGTGTGACACAGCGATTAGTTGCGCACATTGCCTAACTGCAGATCGCGATATCGCGCCACGCAAGATATTGTGGTTACCAACACCACGCTTTCGTTTATATATCAACCCCTCGAAATCATTCAACAATATACTCAACCCGGGTCATCTATCAGTCTTTCACGTCTAGCCAAGATGTCAAATCAGAGCTCGGAGTCGACAAATTCCCGAGAGGAGCGCCCAGAATGGCAGGAGGAAGGTTTCAATTCTCGTCAAGAATGGCAAGACTGGCTAAACGAGTCCGAAGCCACTGATAATGCATATGACGTCCAGGCAGAGGCGCCGCCGCCTGATGACAGCGAAGAGGATGAGGGCTTCGACGAGGAGTTCGTTAGCGAGCAAGACTCAGAGGACGAAGATGACGACGACGACGAATCGGAAAGCGGTGAGCCTGGAAAACACGTCGAGCCCGAAGACGACAGCAGCCCCGACGATCATTTTGAGGCTGTAGACAACGGTGAGCCTGGAGTAGACGACACTTCAAATGTCGACGAAACTGCGCTCACTTCTATTTTTGGCCTCGGTAAGTGATGATAAACTTTTGCCAGACGCAATCTAACGCAGTAGGTAGCGCACGACAAGAACAAAGACTATGCCCTCGTTGAGCAGTCAGCTCGTGGAGCTCTCAACGCTATCACCATAGCCCTTCAGGACATCATCAACAGGAGTCAGGCACGACAAGGTGACCCACAGAGTCTTGCGAAAGAGATCGAAAGCGCCTTTGCCACGACTTTGCCTACGTACTTAAGCGTCCAGGCAATACTCCAAGGTGGACAACAAGTTAGTCTTGCTCGAGTGTGTATGAGAGTGCCCAGCTGACAGATTTCACAGCCTGTTGGGCGGCCAACTCCCCTCAGCGCCTTTCCTGCGCAGAGTAATCAACCCCTGATCGGCACCTCGACCGCCGTGTCTGTTCCACCCTCTCCGCCTCCGCCGCCACCGTCAACAATCAGCGGTCTCGTATCCTCCGCCCCGCAAAGAAATGTATGTCGTATTTCTTAATGCTGTCCGTGCGGCGCTAACATTGTGTAGGAAACCAGCGCTCCCCAGGGGGACGAAGACGTCGCCAGCGACAATGAGGAGGAAGTTCAAGAGATTATAACACCCCTTCCGGACTAGAGCGGCTCGGGCCCATTTAAATAGATAATTTGATTCATGTAAGAGGTCTGGCGATGGAAGCGCCAGGTTTAGCCTGCTGAAGACAGGTGTGCATAATGAAGAACTTCATATTGGGTCAAGCTTGAGCCTCCAAGATAGGTCGAGGATGCGATATGAGTACAAGGTGTACGGGTGTCGCGATCCCTTCGTAAGTGCATGGCTGTGAAAGAGGGTCTGCGTATAGGCCTGATTTGGACGAGCACCTTTCACCGGCAGAGGGATTTTCGTCACCGTTCACTTGACTTTCTCATACATCGTTAAGTCTCTCGCGATCTCAACACTCTGCATCCTCTTCAACCTCAACGCCACCAGAACCTCTTCAACATCACCATGGCGACTACTGATGCTGACATCATTGTCACAGGTCTAGGTCAAGGCCCCGTGGCACTTCCAATCCGAGCGCCTTCGCTCGCTATTTCGTCTTCCATTTCGCCTGCTCAGGCACACCCCATCAAACATTACGGCAGGGATGCGAAAATCTTCAAGGCCGCCGACCTCCGCTTCGATGACGGCTCGGTCAACAAGCCTGGCACAAAGGCTTACTACAAGAGCTTTGGGTTCCGCGAGAAGACAGAGAGCACCAGCGATCAGAAGATGGCCGGAGAGAGGAACGAGAAGCAGTCACTCGTCATGATCTTCAGCAGAAATGCTGTCAGGCGATCTGCCCTGATGGGCTCTGTCGCAAACAGAGCTCGGAAGCTGAGCAAGAGGCAGTAAGTGTGCTATTTTGATCCAACTGAATGAGTCTAATATCTCCATAGGAAGTTCATGCGCAAGGTCAACAACGACGAAAAGTTCTTCAAGTGGGACTGAGTGCCTGCAAAGGAGGCGGATGACGGGCAAGAGACAACGAGTCCGACTTCCGCTCTGGGAACGAGGCCTGACGTCATGAAACACCTGAGAAGTGGCTATCGGGCGGCGAGTGTCCATGTCTGTTCTTGCCCTGTTCTACGGCGATGGTTGAACACCAAACCGTCACTGCTCTCATGCTCATATCCTAGTACTGCGCGTTTGTTTTGCAGTCACGTTCATCAAGAATCTCACGCGATCACACAGTAGTATCACTCACTTTCTAGACCCTATAAAGTCTTGTTGCGTAGCTGTGTGTCATAACCTACGCCTACTAACACCCTTCTCTTTCTCTTCCACTCCCAAGATTGCTCTGCTATACTACATCCCTAATGCCTAAAGCATTCAGCGTCCCACATGATTCAGGTGGTCGCCGTACTCCGCCAAATCCCCCACCGACCAGGAAAACCGGCCTCTCTATGAGCGACTTCCAGTATCAAGGTCCTCTAGAAGACAACCCTGTTACCACCATAGCCCGTGGTCTCCGCGAGAAACGACTGCGATTCACCAAAAAGATACCAAACGATCACGACAGCGATATCTGCTCGCCAAGAGACCGCCGCAGTGCCCTTTCCGTATTTGACGAAGCCATCGAAAAGATCTGCGATGACAACCGCCTGGAAGTAACTACCGAGGCCGACTACAAGATCAGGGTGATCTTAGGGATCACCAAAGCGCAACCCTCTGCATCGGTGTTCCTAAATAAGCAACAACTCTCGCCCATAGACCCCCAGTATGCAGAGCCACGTATCGAATGGCACGACGATCCATACAGCTATCACTCGACTTGGCGGTTGCAGCACTGGCGCAAAGATGGTTGGCCTGACTCGTTTCCTGAGAGGGCCATTCAGAAAGAACGAACCATGCAAGGGGAGCCTAGATCCTGGAAAGACCAAGACTGGGCTGAGCCTGGAGGATTGAGTTGAGAGTCGGTGATCGTGGCGGGAATGATCGCGGTTGAGAGTTGCAAGCAGTATAGGTAGTCATCCAGGGCCTCCACTTGCTGAGGAAGTATCTGGGTAAACAGCTCTCATGTAGTGAATTAGATGAAAGTCTAATATCGGGTTGAGATGCACTCACAAAATCTCTTGCATCTTGATTCCGACGGTTCCTTTAGTTTCTAGTAAGTGTTAATGTGACTGAGCTTATACTGGGCAGCTATCGTGTCCTCTCAAGCTGTTTCACACCCATTGTTGCCCTAGGGGTTAGTACTGTGCAACTACAGAGTAGATACGCATGTGAATGAATCCCAATACCATTCATCCTGAAAATTCCAGAGTTTATGTCCTAAACTTTGTTCCTCAGTAAGAACTCACGACCACCAACCAAATATGCCCCGTCTCAAAGAAGGTACTTCGCTATGGCGAGCTATAAAGGAAATGGCAAATAATCAGACCGAACCAGGCCATCCGGCTTCGATGTCAGTGGTACAGATGGCAACTGCTGAAGAAACGTTCGATATACCCGAACAACAAGATGCCAATTCTTCAAATACGCCCACGACTCATATTTCACAACGCGTAACGAGATCCGGGAGCGGCCACGGTGGAACTTCTCCATGGGTCCGCCGTACTACGCGCAATGTGAATCAGGTTTCTCGGGATCAAGTTCTAACTGAAGAGGAACAGCTGGAGGCTACTCTGGCTGAATCTCTGGCACAAGACTCCGCAATGCCCGCTCAGAAAGACCCAGTAAAGCAGACACGGAAGAGGCCCTCAAAGTCCAGGGGTCTCCTGACTTCGCGGAAAGCGCAGGAAGCATTATCTCGACTCCCTGGACAACACACTGCTCTGAAGCTGCCAAAGTTAAGAATTACAAACGACAGGATATTGGTTGTAAGGGAAGTAGACAGCCTAGCGCAATCGCTGGATACTGACGAACCATTGGATGCTTTCGATCTTGAGCAAGCTAAGGACCTCGAACGTCAACAACAACTCCTCTCTCTATCCATGCTCGAAGGACAGGAAGGCTACATACCCCCTGTTCAAGGTGAGCATGAAAGCGCTATGCGCAGCACGCTTGTTCATGATGTGGATAACGATGACTTCACTGCTGCATTTATCCTAAGGGAGATGGCAAACAGTGACATCACCGCTGATCCTGCGAGTATGGATTTTGTCCAGCAACTCATGAATCCGGCCGCTCCTGGAACGACTTTGGAGTCGACTAACTTGGCTAAGGAAGAAACCCCGCGCGAGGTTATACCCCTTCGTCGTTCGACACGAAAGAAGACTGCCGCTGCTCCCGGAGCTGGGAACTCGTCCTCAAAGGCCATCGAATCTGAGCAACCGGCACCTGAGCCCTTGAAATTGGATGAGGGCGAAGGTTTCATGCCATCCGCGGCAAACGACTTCAAGTTTAAGTACGACAGCCCTTCCGGGCTTCAAGCTAAAGAACTTGACGCACTTCTGAAGCCTCCGAGTCGTCCTAAGGCCTTTCCGGCTGATCTTGCTGGTGAGAAGGCTTTCGGCCATAAGAGCTACAAAGGTTTTGGTAGTAGGCCGAAGGAGAATGCTGCAAACGATAGGGTCAGAGAAATGGAACTCGAACATGCGCGAACACAGCAAGACGTAGATATGGCTATGGAGCAAGAGGATATGTGGAGCGAGTTGTGGGGCGTTAACGAATGGGAAGAGTAGGCCTTTCTCGGAGACAAGAAGATGCCCAAATCCTGCTAGGGGAATTATGTGTGCACATACCTTCTTGCACCTAGTAAGCAGTCACTCAATTCACGCACTGCAAATTAGGCGGCCATTCACTACAGATATTCTAGAATCAATTGCTCATTCACGTCGATTTTAGTCATCTGCCTAACTGTAGCGGGAATATAGCCCGTCGTAAGCCGAGACAGACTTTGTGATATAGTGGCTTGAACAGCCGTATTCTCTCCACTACTTTGACTCGACTAGCCCTCAATGAACCCTAGAACTCTTCCATTCAATCTACACAGTTGGCGAGATGTCGGATAATCCACTAAATACTCCCACTGTCACGATCTCAAATCGCTGTCAGCAAGACACCGCTGCTACTACCAGGCCTCATCAAAGTTTGAGTCGCATGGGATGGGTTGATCACCGCATTGGTAGGCCTGACCGAACAGGCGAACGTCACACCGAGCAGGAGCACGAGGTAGCGAGGACCATGCTAACATTGAGACGACTGGTTTTGTTCTCTACAAAGGCTCATGCAACAGACATCTCCCTCAATATGAGCGGGCCTGTTATAATCCATGACAGCGACGGTGAGCGGACGATCACTGCGGGACCGACCCCGGATACGACATCAGCGCCCCACGCTATACCATCTGCGAGTATGGCTATGAAGTCAGTGCCCGGCAGCGATGTCACTACGACGAATGTTCCCGCCAATGAGGATGTAACCACTCCAGTGGTGCGGAAGATCACACTGGAGGAGTACATTAGGTTGAGAAAAGCGAGGAAAGATGGGGAAGCACATGAGAATGCTTGACCTCGGACAGTGAGGTAAGTCCGGGTATGGTATAGGACTACGTAGTGTACTTATCATCTACACAGCTCGGGTATCCTGATCCTGAGGCCGACATGTAGTCGCCAACGCCATCCACCAGCGTACTATGCACCACCCTTGGCCAGAGCGGCTGCCTTACGCTCGCGCTTCTCACGACGGATGCGGGCCGTGCGACGAGTCTTCGTCTCCCCGGCGATTATCCTGCTTCCCCGAGGTGTTGCGGAAAGAGGCGCGGAGGGTGCAGGGGAGTTGGCGACGTAGTCGCTCGCCCACTTCGACAGCATCGGACCTGGCATGGTCGGAGGCAAGCCCTTGACGAGGATGGGGCTGCCATCCGCCAATGCCCTGACCCTCTTGTCCATGAACCCGTTCAGGCGGTCGTACAGACGGGATGCTGCGACCCCGGCCCACCACCACCCAACTGTGTTCACCGACAGCTCGTGCTGCAGGTCCCACATGTCCTGGTTTAGACCGCGGAACAGCAGGTCGAAGTCGGTTCGGTCCTTCTCGGTGGACTCGCCTAGAACTTGATGTTAGTGTGCGGACAAGACAAATGTCGAATACTCAGAGAATGCGCACCGTACAACACCGCGAAGGTGGCCTCGATCTCGTTCTGCGCCAGGAACGACTGCCCTCCGCTGAGGCGGAACTGCTCGTGAAGCTGGGATGCTAGATCCATCATGATGAGATTGGATCGGCGAGACGAGAATCTGGAGAGTATCGGATCAGTATGTGAGCGTCAAAATTTCAAGAAATTTTGAGGCAGGCGTGAGGCTGTTGTGGAGGTCGCTTGACGACGCGCAATTTGCAAAGGTAGAGTTCGCTCTCTTCACCTGAGCACGTCCCCATGGTAACCGCCAGTTTCGTTTGCATTCTGTGCTGCTCGGTCTGAGCTCGTCGCTACATCTTTCCGTTATCTGTTCTTCTATCAATACCATGCACAATACAATGTCATGCTGCTAGTTGATTGCAACATTCAGGCACGCTACGTGCTGAACTTTGATGAGCTCATTGTTCACTGTATGTGCGGTTTTGACAACCTTGGAAGTCTTGCAAGTAGCAAACATGTTGACCTTACCCTCATACAAAACCTTGTTTCTCCTTAGATCAACAATCTTCATAACCTTATTCAGATGGCGGCCTTCACCCAACCTACTCCACCGATTGACTTTAGACAAGATATAGAAGCTTTCAATCTTTACCACGAAAAATGCACTACCAAACCTATCAAAGAGACCGTTGCGCACCTCCTCTACGCTCTGGAGAATACAGAACTCATCGTAGACCGCACCAGTACTGTTTACACAACATTCCGTAATGCGATGGTGGTCTGGAAGACAAGGATCGATAAAAAGCACGACGCCGACGCGAATCGATGGTACTTTCACAGGATGAGGAGAGAGTTCAGGACAGTAGAACACGTGCTGTACGGTACTACCAGCGACTCGGATAGTGACGGTGAAGGCGATACAAACGACGAGAATTCCGAAGATGAGGACCAAGACGGTGAGAGCCCTGAAGATGCCGGATCTGAAGTGGACTCAGAAAAAGACGATTCTGATGTAGCCCAGTCCGAAAGTTCCACTGATACCCACACAGACATTTCAACGCGCATCGACGAAGCGAGGGACAAAACTGTAGCTGAGAAAACCCCGGACATGCCTTCACCCAAGACCAAAACGAAGCCGTCTGCGCGAACTACGCGTTTCAGCCAACGGCTCAAAGATCTCGACGCTCTCAGAGCACAAGAAGAGAAAAACATGCATTACAAGCTCTTGTGTTAACAATACTTCTCTTTTTGCAAGAGAACCTAATTAGATAGGTATATATAGATTTTAGAAGTTGTAAGTTACTTATTTACGTTGCTACTATAGTACTATAAAATAAAAATAAAAAACTAAATTTATATTATACTTAAATATAAGTTAAAAGAGAAATATAAGATAGCTACTATAGTATCTTTATTACTTATATAACTTATATACTATAAATAAACTAATTATTACTACTACTTTTTTAAGCTCTAATATCTAGCTTAGCTTTTATAGCTATATAGTACTTATATTAGACAAGTAACTAATAATTAATATAGAATGCAAGAGATAGTAGAGTAATAGTATATTGTCTAGTAAGAATAGATAAATTATTACCTTCTAGGTAATAATTCTTTAGATCTACTTATACTTGCGCTAAGTTAAGTTATATAACGTTGTCTAACTATCTAGAATATAGGTTTCTAATAATATCTCTCTTTTTAGCTCTAATTCTCTAGAGTTAGATAGAATAGATTATTCTAGGCTAAAGTAGACTATTTTATAGATTATTATTACCTAGTAATTAAGACGTATATTAGTAGATATAAAATACGCTATCTTATAAGAAAGTTATTTTTTAGACTTACCTTTACCTTTACTTAGTAATTTTCTTACTTACTACTAAAATAGGTAATAATAGAATATTATAGTAAATACTACTACCTACGCTAGTAGCTAGCGTCTTAGTAGTATTATATTAAAATCTTTTAAATTTCTTAACTATTACTTTTACACTAACTAATAATAATTAGATAAGTACTTTTAATTTTAATATTTTCTACTAGTAGCCTAGATAGCCTATAATAGCCTATTATAGACTATTATAGAGTATTATAAGTTACTAAGATATAACTAAGCTAACATAATACTAGTAAATAACTATCTATATTACACTATTTGTTTTACTTACGTTTACGCTTACTCTTAATAACTTTACTTTATCTAGCCTCTAGAAGACCTATCTAAGGCTATTATAGTCTAGAATAGCCTACTATAGACTTTACTAACATTTTAAATACTTTTATAGAATATAGTAAGTAGGCTATAAACTTTTATTACTACTATATTATATTCTTCTCTACTAGCAGTGTTAAGTACTTTAGAAAAGTTAGCTATTACTTTATCTACCTACTAAATAAGAAAAAGATTCTAGAATACGCTAAGTATGTTAGTCTTCTAAGCAGCTAGTTCTGCGTTATAAATAGTAAGACCTACTATTAGTCTAAGTGCCTTAGGTACTAGATTCTTAACTAAGATTACTATATAGTAAGTTATAATACTCTATAATAGGCTATTATAACCTATACTAACCTATTATATAGTTTTTTTAAGTAGAATTAAGCAATAGTTACTTTAATTATACTATTAGTAATCTTCTGTAGAAGATTAATTAAGGCACTATTACTATTTATAACTATAACCTACTTTATTAAGTTAATAATTAGAGCGCCTAGATTATACTTTCTACTAATACTAATAGCACTAAGATTCTAGCTCTAGCTTAGTAGATTAAATCTATTTATAATTATACTACTTAAGAGATTTAGAGCTTTAACAATAAACTTCTAAAGATAGCTATAGCCTTTAAGAAGATTATTAAGAAGTAAGTAGCTATTCTAGGCTATTATAGGCTATTCTAACTTTTAATAAGTAATATTATTTTTATATAGAGAAGCTCTTTCTTTATAATAGCAAAACTTATTATTATTAGTCTACTATGTTTTTAGTTTACTCTTCTACTTTTAGTTACTCTAAAAAGTTAGTTTTAGCTTCTAATTAAGTTTACGCAGCTAAGTAAAAGCGTACTTTTAATAATATAATAGAGAATAGTTTTAAGAAGGTAAGTCTTCTCTATACTAGGCTATTATAGGCTATTCTAACTTATAATAGCATATAGTTATTAATTTTAAGAAGGTTTAGCTTAAGAAGATTATATTAGATAAGGCTACTAAAATCTATACTTTTAAGAATAGTAGAGTTAATACTATCTAAGGTTAGAAGAGTATCTTTACTAAGAAAATTAAAGTAGCTAACATAATTTATAATAATACTAAGAATAGGTAAAATGCTTTATAATAAGCTATTCTAGGTTATTTTAGTAGCATATAGCTTAATTTTAGAGTATTAAGTACTAGTTTAGGTATTTAGTAGTAAATCTAACAAAAAAGTAGCCTTTAAGTATAATATTTAGAACTTTTAGCTTATCTTAGATTATTCTAACCTATAATAGGCTTTAATAGCTTATTCTCTAGCGTATATCTAGCTTAGCAAGAATTACTAAAGTCTTACAAAATCTATCTTCTAAGTAACTTATAAAAATATAATATTTTATCTTAAAGTTTAAGATCTATAAAAAACTAATAGAAGTAAAGCTTTATAATATAGAATAGGTTATAATAATCTATAATAAGTAGTATATAATTATTATAAGAATAGCTAAAGTAAGCTATTAGGCTATAGTACTATTAAACACTATATTAAAAAATCTAAATTAGAAAAAAACTAGTAAAGGTATACTTAGTTTTATTCTCTAAGCATTATCTTAACTTATTCTTTTTCTTTTTAGAAGGCTGTTTACAGCTCTACTTAGGTTTTTTCTTTTTAGACTAATATTAGAGCTATATACTTTTATTATCTTAAAACTTCTATAGCGCCTTTACACTAATCTTTAGTTCTAGTTTTTAAAAGTTTTTCTTATTAAAGTAGCTTTGCTATTTAATAAAATACTTCTACTAATTATTCTTATTACGCCTTTAATCTAAGATTTAGTTAACATTATATATATTATTACTAAATCTGCGCATAGTGTTAATACTCTATATTAGTAGGTATAATAATTATTTAGTTAGCTTATATAGTTCTAGAAGTAATGCGTAAAAGACTAAATAGACTATCTTTAGTTTAGGTATATTAATCTTAAACGTAGATAGGCTAATCTAAGCTATTATACGCCTAGAGCCTATATACTTCTAATCTAGCTTCTTCTTTAGCCTAGTAGAACGCATATACTAATTAAAAATTAAAACTTAATTCTCTACCTTAAATAAAAGAGATATTTTTTTTTTATTAGTATATACTTTCTAATAGGTATTAGCTATAATAATCTTTTTCTTATACTTAGCTTATAAGCTAAGTACTTTTACTATAGTAGAAAGCTTTATAAAGCTTTCTCTATTACTCTAAGCTATACTAGGCTAGTCTACTTCTTTTAGGTCTATACTATAATAGGCTTAAAAGAGAGTTATACTAGTAGTTGTGTAAATACTATTATTATACGCAAATTCTCTAATAGATATCTATAGAGCCTAGTTATTCTATTCTAGCGTATAGTAATACTATAGGTACTATTCTAGTGTTTAGTTCTACTACTTAGTTTAACTATTTATCTAGAGGTAGAATATAGACGTAAGAACTCTTCTAGAGTTTAAATAGTATTAAAAGATATTCTAATACTTTATATTTATTAGTAAGCTTTTATTTAAGATAACTTACTTTAGAATACTATATAGATAAATAACTTTACATATTTAGGCCTAGGCAAGGTCTAAGCTATTCTAATTACCTCTTACTAGAATATAATAGGCTATCTTAGTAAGTCTATATATAATAACTAGTATTATGTTATAGACTTAGCCTTATATAGTACTAGAGAGAAGCTCTATAATAAAATCTATAGTAGCTTTCTTTTAGAGTTAATCTAGAGAAAGTAGAAGTTCTAATAAACTATATAGTTTATAGTAAGCTAGTGTTACCTTATAGTAGGCTAAGCAATTATAATAATACTTAGTAATATTCTTTCTTATACTTTTTTAGGTATATTAATATTAGAGCTTTTCTAAGATGCGTCTTACTCTAAAATATTCTACTAGTAAATTATTATAGCACTTTATAAGTACTTTTAACTTACTTTCTATATTAGTAAGCTTTTAAAAGTAACTATAACCTATAATAAGTTCTAATAAGTCTATTTATTTTATGTCTAAGTCTAATTCTTCTAAAGAGAATTTACTAGCTTTATTAGAGGTATTCTAATCTTCTATAGACTCTTACTCTCTTAGTTTAGTCTAATTAACTTACTTAAACTTATTAAGCGCTTTACTTAATTTATTTAGTAGTTCTAATTTAGAACTAAACCTTATTAGCGTAGCTATAGCTAAGAAGGCTTTCTTACTCTTATTAAGAATAATATCTCTTATAGACTATACAAAGGCTTTATTATACTTCTAGACTAGCTTCTATAACTTAGCTATGTAATTAAAGCAGCGTAATAGGCTATCTACTAGATTAGTGCTTCTAGAATAATAAATTAAGTTAAAATTATATTACGTAAGTACTAGGTAAGACTAAACTTAATAATAGTTAAAGACCTTAGTTTCTATAAACTACTTAAGGTTTATATAATTAGTAAAGATCTTAAAATAGATACTTTTAAAGTAATATTACTAATATTCTAAACTTTTAATAATAGCTAATAGTTCTTAGTTATATATATTATAATTATACTTTACTATAATAAGCTTACGTAAATAGAAGTTAACTAGGTACTAGTTATCTAGCTTAGGTAATTCTATAATATATTAGCTTAAAATACCTAATATTACACCTTTAGATATATTAACTTTAACTTTTATCTTACAATCTCTTTTAAAGTAAGCTAAGATTAGTTTCTTTAAGAAAGAGTTCTTAAGCTTATAGAAAGCCTTCTTAGCAGCTTTACTAATATCTAGAAACTAGCTCTTCTCTCTCTATATAGCGTAGCTACCTTTAGCTACGCTTAGGCTTTTTTAGATTAAAATAGTTAATAGTAGAGCTAATTTAGAAAAACTAGTAATAAATTAGTAATAGTAGTTTATAAAGCTAATAAATACTTAAATATTATAAACTATACGTAGCTTAGGCTAATTCTAGATAGTCTTAATATAGTTTTAGTTAATCTTAATTTTATTAGGTATAATAATATAACTAAAGTA